TACCTACTGTGTAACTTTGGACAAGTGTCTTACTTCTCTGGGCCTCAACTGTCTCATCTGTGAAATGCATTTGCCCATTTTATCCTACCTTCTAGGGTGGTTGTGAAGATTAAATGAGTTAACACATGTAAAGCACTTGAAAATGACTCAGTGCGTGCTAGCTATAATTATGATCCCTCACTTCTAACCTAGTCCTCTTTCAGGCCATGCTGGTCTAATCTGAACAGCTCCACCCAGTCTTCAAAGGACGCTCAGCAAACAGACTTCTGTTCTCTCATTCTAAGACAGGAAAAAGAGAAGACTGTGTTGATTTTAGAGAGGATATGGGCAAGGAACTATTTTTTTTTAAGCCCAGCGCCCTGCTTAGAACTTTACATATGTTGCTTCATTTAATCCTTACAGCGACTCAGTGTACTAGGTACAATTGTCTCCAGTTTACAGATGAGGACTTGGGACTCAATGAGTTTAAATAGCCTGCCCCAAATCACACAACCCCCAAGTAAGAGAGACAAGAGCCAGGCTGAGGAGTCCGTGCTCTGTGCTACTCTCCAAGTGCACAGCAACCATAAAAGTTAAGTGCACAGACCCTCGCCCTCCTGTGCTAACGAGTAATTGCAACCTCTTACAGTGGAAGAGCACTTTACACTATTCAGAGTGCTTCCATATATATTAACCTGTTATTCCACTCCATAGTCCCCCATCCCACAGTAGCCCTTCAACTAGAAGAGTCGGGGACCATGATGCCCATTTTACAGATGGGAAAGTTGAGCCAGCATATTTTGCCCAAGTGGTAGAGCTCTTCTGGTAGCCTGTGACAGAGCAGAACTCTGGACCTCTGGGTTCTCTTCCATCCTCCATGCTCCTCTTCATGCTACTTTCCCTTGAGTGCCCAGAATCAAGAAGCTATTGGGCAAAGTGAGAGAAATCAGCCCCAACTTTGCCCTTCTCAGAAAGGGAATGAGGATGTAACCATTCCCAATCTAATCAGTCTTTGCTGAGCAGCTGGTCTTTGCCAGGTACTCTCTGGAGAGCAAGGCCTTCTGGAGGTGGGGAGATTGATCTCAGTTGACTCTTAACTTCCAGGAGCTTGCCATCTGGTAGAGTGGTGAGGTAAACACTTACACATCAGGGTAGAATGGGATGGAGTCAATAACAGGGGTTCTCAGTCTCTGTGGAAAGGCCATCTGAAAATCCACAAGTCTTATTCCCAGAGCTTCATGGAGCTTGTATCCCAAATGCTTAATTTCTGCTGAAGTCTTGCATTCCGACTTTTGACAGGAATGGAACCACCAGCCACTCCCTGCTCCTCTGAGCCCCAAGCTTCCTGTTCCCCCAAGTTCACATTCACAGGAAGTCAGAAACTGCCAACTTGGCTTCAAGTCCCCATAGTGCCTGTTTCTCTTCCCTCTAAAGCCCCGGAGGCTGTGAGAGCTTCAGCTGACCCTCTGCTGTGTACCAAACAGGTGAAGAACCCAGAGTTGCTGAGGGCCTGTGCTCACCAGCCAAGCCAGGACCTGGTCCAGGAGAGCCTTCTCCCTCTGAAAAAGGAGAAAAACCTAAGATTAGATGGACAGAGATTTGACTCCAAGCCATGAGAGCTGAAGACCAACCACTCTAACTTCAGGGGAGCTATAGCTAGATTAATTCTACGAGGAGATAGACTCTATTATTCAGCAGGGCTTACACCCCTGCCCCAACCCACAATGGTGTAGACATACGTTATGAATATATCAGGGTCAGTAACTTGGTAAAATGAGAATGATTTAGAATATCCCAGCCTGACTAGTGAAAATATGGCTCCCTTTTTTTTTTTTTTTTTTTTTTTTATCGGTCCGCGGGCCTCTCACTGTTGCGGCCTCTCCCGTTGCGGAGCACAGGCTCCGGACGCACAGGCACAGCAGCTATGGCTCACGGGCCCATCCGCTCCGCGGCACTTGGGATCTTCCCAGACCGGGGCACGAACCCCTGTCCCCTGCATCGGCAGGCGGACTCTCAACGCCTGCGCCACCAGGGAAGACCATGGCTCCTTTTTTAAGAGCCAGAAAATGTGCCTTCACGCATGATATACTAGCCCATGTAGATCCCAAAAGAACAGGTTCCTCTGAGCATCCAAGTAGTGATAATAGGGTAGCGATTCGATCCCACTCTGCTGTGGAGTCTTGGGGCCAAGAATCTCTTAACCCATAGATTTCCCATCTGTACATGAAGATATTATTTATCCCTTGGGTGGCTGAGATGATGGATGAAGTCATATAAGAAAAGAAGGTAGCAAAGCATCTGGTGCATACTAGGTGCCCAATAAATGTTATGCTCTTTCTTTCCTTCCTAAAGCAAATCCTTTGACTCCAGCCCCAGCTACCATGGAACTGGGGCCTCCCTGAGAACTGAATCTCCCAGGTTTGGGAGAAAGTCTGGTTTTGAGAGGAAAGGATTTCAAATGATTCGCAAAGCCCAGGGTCCTTTCAGCTGCGAACAGAGAAATTGTGTTTCAAGTTTAGCTTTGAGCAGAGATTTCCTGCTCTTGAGAGCATGGGGGCACGGGAAGAGTCCAGTAACCCTGGGGACTGGACTGTGTGTTTCCTCACCAAGGTCCACTTCTACCAGATTTGCCCTCCCCCTGCACATGCCTGGTGATCTCATCCCTGGTGTGAGGTTATGCAAGGGGTAATGGGTACGTGTGCGCATCCTCCCCCGACGTGGACCTTCACAGCCATCCAAGCATGTCACAGATGAGGGAAGCCTGGGCTGGCAGTCGGGACCCCTGCTTTGGAAAATCTGGCATCTGACTCTATGTAACCCAAGGCAAATTGATTTTACCAATCCAGAGGAGGGGCTGCATCCCCCAGCTCAGCCTATGGGAAGACCGACTCCAGTCTCACAGAAATATTAGGAAGCTTGCTGATGTCAGGTGAGAACAGCGACCAGAACCAGAGAGCTGCTGTTGGCTTGGGCTCCTCAGAGCAAGTGGCATTGTGTCCTCCCACTGGCCACTGCATCCAAGGCCAGCGCAAATGGCAGGTGGTAGAGTCCTTGGGACTCTGCAGCAAGCCCATCCCAAGTGTTCCAGAGGAGAGAGACTTCCCAGCCCTCTGACCCCTGCTCCCACCTGGGAGTCAATCCCATGGCCACCACGGTGCCCACTCAGGTGGTCCTGCAGCCAGCGTTGCCTGAGCACATCCAGGCTGGGGCGGACGCTGGCATTTGGCTAAGGCCCCACCCCAGAAGTTAATCATTGGCCTGGTATGAAAAGTCCAGGGCAGTTAACCAGAATCAAGAGAGCCTCGAGCTGCCACCCGACACCCATATCTGCCCCCACCCACTCCTCTTACTCTTCTGAAGAACCGGAGAAACAGAATACCTTTATCTCCACAAGGAAATAAAAAGGTGCCTTGCTGGGAAATTCCCTCATGGAAAAGAAATAACCAAGATAAACAGCTCTATGTCCTTTGGCTCAAGCTAGCGAAGGGTGTCTCTGAGAGTAGGAGCAGGGCCAAGGCAGTAAGGGAGCCTGGGAGATGCCTCCCCACGCTCCCTGCTGCTTAGAGCTTCCTTATCTTTATGGGTGCTGGTTACTGCCCAGCACTTGTTAACTCTTGTTACTTGCTGGTTACTGCCCAGCACTTGTTAACTTGTTTTCTCCTTTCACACTGTCATCGTCAAGTCCATTCCAAAGTTGAAAGCCTGTCACAGTCCGTGGGAAAGTGGGGACTCCCCTTTTCGCCTCTCTCCTCCTTTAGGCTGGCAGTCTGGGTCCAGAGGACAGCTGTGGTCAGGCTGGGCCCTGGGGCCCTCAACCCTCCCCAGCCCTGGGCTATGTCCACAAATGTTACAAGGTCCACACGTGCTGCACCCTCTGAGTGGCCTTACCTTGGATTCTCCATCTTCGTCTGACCCACCTCAGCAACCAGGATAACAGAGGTGTGATAACATCACACCTACATTTTGAACCCCAACCCCATAACTGAATCTCTGGGAAATCGTGGGCAGATCATTCAGCATCTCAAGATCTTGATTTTCTTATCTATGAAATGGTTGTAATTATATGTGTTCTGTCTTATTTAAAGGGAACTTATAGAGCTCCAGTGAAATAGTGTAAATGACAATGCTTTGATAAGCAAAGGGGGCTCTACAAATAAGCATGAGGGATAAGCATCCCACTCTATTTGAGGTGCAATACAGTGCAGTAAGAGAGGCTCAGAGCTTAGACCCTGGGGGTCAGACAAAGCAGGATTCAGGTCTTGCCCACCTCCTCCACTCCCACCCTACCTATCCCCACACTTAAGCTTCGTGTGAACGCGAGGAAAGCACTTAACATTTAAGCTTTCATTTCCTCCTATGTAAATTGTGGATAAGAATGCCCGTCTCCTCAGCAACAACAACAACAACAAAAATAGAATACCCACCTCCTTGGGGCGATATCAAGTTTAAATGAGATAATACAGGTACATTATTTAACACAGTGCCTAGAACATGGTACAAGGACCATTCATGGTGGTTATGACCATCATGATCGCTTTAATCCTTGCTAGGCTGCCTCTATGCATCTTTACTTACTCATATGACACGCCATAAAATATGCCAGCCCCCCTCCACCTCCCAGGGGTGTAGGGAGGGCAGCTGGAACAGAGAGATGGAGCCATTTCTTGGTAGTAACCAATTATCCGGTGAGCTGTTCCTGAGCTGTAATGGATCTTGCCCAGGACCGTGACCCCCGGATAGGGATACAGAGGAAATGACACATGTGTGTGTCCCTACCCTAAAGGAACTTTGCAGCTTAGTTGAGAAGATGAAAATCTACTTATACCTATTAAGGAACAAAAAAGCATTGTGGATGATGGGACTTTGAACTGTAATGGGAAAGGCGGAGCCATTCATTCTGCCACAGGTTTTATGTCAGTTACTGGAGATACAAAATCAAACAGGTGTTGCAGGAACTCGGTCAACTAGCCTTGGAAGACAAAGGCACTTCATCACCTCGTGCTATTGTCTTTCAGCAACCACTCAAGAAGGCGGCCTGGGTGGCACAGCCCCACGGGAGCCACCAGCGATGTCGCACCTCTTATTCACCTGCCTGCTGGCTGTCTTCCCAGGTGCGTCGGCCAGGTCTCAGCCCACCCCCATCCCAGACCCAGTTCCCTGGGGGCTCTGAAATCAGGCCTGTCCCCAAGGATGTCCCTTGCAGAGCTTGCACTCCCTTGAGGAGTAACCGCACAGACGATGCAGAGAGGCCACATCTGAAAATGGATTGGTGAGCCAGCACTGGGGATGGGGAACAGAAATGGCACTTCCTCATTTGAAGGTCAGGGGTCTGGTGAAGGGTCTTCACTGGGAATAAAGAAAACTAGACCTTGACCTTGAACGAAGCATTACTATGAGTTGCTTTGTTTTGGGGTTTTGGGGAAATGACTTATCCTTGTGGCTCTTAATATTTTTATCTGGAAAAAAAAAAGAAAGTAATCTGTAAAGCTTTTTCGGAAATGCAAAGAAATAACAGATGACAAAGGAAATAACGTAGCACCCCACGAGGGTGGTTTAAATATATATATATATATATATATATATATATATATATATACA